TATATTGTAAATCATTAGTTTCGGATTTTTTAAATGTGGTTAATGTTAAGTCAAATTCTGGCCTCACCAATTGCCAAGGAGGAGAAGAAAGAAGACGAGAAGGAGATATATTCTCCAGCTCAATGCCAGCAGCAGAAAGGAATGGTTGAATTCTGTGCCCAAGAGGCGGAACAAGAGAAGGCTTTTTGTTATACAAATCCTCATAAAGAGGATTGAAGACACAATTAAATGCAGGATTAGATTCGTTTGAATATAGTTTAGTAATATATTGTAAGGATAATTTAATACGGCGTTGGGAAAGCGAAGGCTCATCTGCCTCAACATAGACTGTCAACTGGAGAGGTTCTAAATGATCCTAGACAAAGTCTTAGACCTTGGTGGTGAACAGAATCAAGTAATTTAAGGTTGCTTTTGCAGGCTCCGCCATATACGATCGAACCATAATCAAGTTTAGATCGTACCAATGATCGGTATAAGTGAAGGAGGGTAGTTTGATCCCCTCCCCACTTTGAGTTGGAAACAACTTTTAACAAATCGAGTGCCTTCAGGCATTTAGTTTTAAGTGCTTTAATATGTGGTAGAAACGTTGAGTGTGAGTCAAAAATAATACCCAAGAACTTGGCCTCCTTCACAACTTTGATAGGAGTGCCATTTAGAGATAGTTCCGGTCTTTATGCAGCTTATATTTTCTACAAAAGTGTAGACAATTAGTTTTGGACTTGGAAAATTTAAAACCGTTTTCAAGACACCATTTATGTATTTTATTTAAACACAGCTGCAGTTGCCGTTCAATAGTATGCATATTCTTACCACGACAAGAAATATTAAAATCATCCACAAAAAGTGATCCATCTATTGAATCATTTAAAACCTTGGATAAACTGTTAATTTTGATGCTAAAAAGTGTGACAGACAAAATACTGCCTTGTGGGACACCCTGATCCTGATTATAATGGTCAGACAGGGTAGAACCCACTCGGACTTGAAATTGCCTGTCAGCTAAAAACTTGGATATAAATTGAGGCAAACGGCCTCTCAATCCAAAATCGTGTAAATCTCTTAAAATACCATGTTTCCATGTAGTGTCGTATATAGTCTAAGTCGAAAAGATCGACACTGCATGTTGTTTATTAATTATGGCATTTTTTTTACAAAAGACTCTAAACGTACTAAATGATCGATGGTAATACGGTTTTTACGGAAACCACATTGTATATTAGTTATAAGGTTATTGGTTTCCAAGTACCAAACAAGTCTGTTGTTGATCATACGTTCCATGGTTTTGCAAACGCAGCTTGTCAGTGAAATTGGTCTATAATTAGAGGGATCTGTATGATCACGTCCAGGTTTAGGGATGGGCACAATTATAGCATCACGCCACGACGAAGGGAAATTTCCAGTTGTCCAAATGTCATCAAAAATATGTAACAATGTCTCCAAACATGACTCTGGCAAGTGCTTCAGGAGTTGATAATGTATGTTATCAGCTCCAGAAGCAGTATCGTGAGCCTGATCAAGAGCGGTATGAAGCTCATGTATCGAAAAGGTTTCATTGTAGTCTTCCCCGTTATCTGAATTGAAATTAATAGCTTTCTTTTCTTGCTGTTTTTGATATTTTTGGAATTCAGGTACATAATTTGCTGAGGAAGAATGTTTGGCCAACGTCTCACCAAGTTTATTTGCAATATCTGATTTACTAGTCAATAATGTGTTCCCATCTTTTAGATGGTGGATGCTAGATTTAGAGCCCTTACCCTTGATTTTCTGGATCATATTCCACACCTTTGATATAGGTGTGCGAGAATTCATCTTTGATATATAGTTTCGCCAAGATTGACGTTTACTTTGCTTGAAAGTGCGTCGTGCTTTGGCGTTTAAAATTTTAAATTTGTCCAAATTGTGGACCATAGGATGGCGACGGAAATAGTGCTCGGCTTTCTTCCGGGCCTTCCTAGCCTGTTTGCAGTCATTGGTAAACCATGGTTTTCGTACGTGAGGAATTGCAGAGGACTTTGGGATACACTCGTCAGCTATGTTATTTAGTTCATCTGCAAAACATTTTATGGCATCAGGAATGTCATTAAAAAGTTCAGGTTTCAGATTGTCAGCACAGAGAGCTTCATATAAAGGCCAGTTAGCCTTTCTAAAATTCCATCTTGACGATGGAGGAACATCGGATGGATTAACAGGTGTCAGTATTGTTGGGAAGTGGTCACTTCCACAGAGGTCGTCATGGACCGACCATTCGAATTCACTCAGTAGGTTAGAGTCAGCAACAGTCAAGTCAAGAGCTGAATATGTTCCTGTGCCAGGATGTAAATATGTCTGTGAACCGTCATTATATATGCATAAATCATTATTTGAAATAAAATCCTCCAGTAATTTACCTTTGGTGTTTGTATTAATACCACCCCAGAGTGGGTTGTGGCCATTTAAATCCCCCATGATTAAACAGGGTTTAGGTAGTTGATCATAAAGAGCTTGTAAATCTGAAAGTTGAACAGTTGATGAAGGCGGAATGTATAGAGAGCACAAAGTAAAAGCAACCTGTAATGTAAGGCGAACTGCAACGGTTTGGAGATTTGTTTTAAGTGGGACAGGGCTATGTATAATATTGTTCCTCACCAAAATTGATGCTCCACCAGAAGCTCTATCGCCAGGAGGAGAGAAATAGTGATATGCACTGAACTGACGTAGGTCAAAATTATCTGCCTGTTTCAGATGGGTTTCTTGTATGCAGAACGCTGATGGTTTGAAATCTTGGACTAATAGATGTAACTCGTTTAAATTAGTCCTAATTCCTCTACAATTCCATTGAATTAGAGGTGAAGCCATTATTTCTTTGGCGGATGGACAGGAGATCTACCCCTCACCTTCCTTGAGGGTGACAAGCTATGTGTCCTACCATGGCTGTGGTCGGACACATCCATGTCCTCAAGGGATCCAAACTTATTGTAAAGTTTGACCTGGTTAGTCGACCCTTTTGGGGCTCTGTGACTTTGATTCTTTTTGTTTCCATAGTTTGGTTTGGATTGATTCTTCACAGTTACTTTCACATTTTTGTCAGATGGTTGCTTCTGAAATGAGGATGTGTCTGTCTCAGAAAGTGCCTTAGACGGAGTGATGGTTTGCGAAGGCATGGTTTGAGCACTTGAAGTCACCTTTGGAGGTCTCGCTTGAATTTCAGCAGTTACCAAGGTAGGAGCAGAAGTCCTAGCCCACGTATAGTCGGTTTGGCAACCTACTGAAGTATATGAAACATTTTTTGGTGTAGAGGGCTGAACCGAAGCCGAAACAGTGGCAGCATAACTTGGACCTAAATGTTCTTGAGCAAGAACAATCTGTTTAGCTTCAAAGAAGGACACGTTTCGCTCATGCTTCACTCGCGAAATTTTGGATTGCAACTTCCAGGAAGGACATTCCTTGGAAGAAGAAGGATGGCAACCTGCACAGTTGACACAAAGAGGTGTTTTGTCACAAAGGATACTGTCTTCGCATGTTCCAGCACATCGATGACATGCAGCTGGATTGTTGCAAGACTTGGCCCCGTGACCATACTTCTGACAAGTATAGCATCTTAAAGGATTGGGGATGAAAGTATCCACCCTCAAGTTGCAATAACCTGCTTTCAGTGATTGTGGGTGAACTGGCATACAAAACGTGAACAAATAAGTATTTGTTTTCAAGGTTTCATTATTCTTTTTAGCCGTGAATCGTTTGACATGAGTTACCCCTTGAGAATGCAATTCGGTAACGATTTCAATATCGCTCATGTCTGATAGGTAACGTCCATTATCACGGACGATGCCTTTGCTGCTATTTAATGTCCTGTGAGGGGACACCTCCACAGGAACATTTGCTAAAGATGTTGTTTTCAGAAGAATGTTGGATTGGATTGGTTTCCTGCATTCGATTAGCAGGGAGCCAGATCGCAACTTTTTTTATTTCTTTAACGTCTCCGGCCAAACCTTCAATACCCTTTGCAACAGCAAAGGGATTCAGTTTAACAGGGCCACCATCGGGGGCACACATGACTACAAAGCGAGGCCAATTGTCAGGGTTGGTGATAATATTTTGAGCTTCATCCTCTGAAGACAATGAATCATCTGATTCATGTGAGCGTTTTTTGAGTGGGGGTGCCATGGTTAAAGTATATATGATTCACCCTCCTAGCTCCCCACCCACCATGGAGTGTCAACAAGGACGATGCCTCATGTCTATGGGTCTCCAACAGACGGCACCAAGGATACTAGGAGGGTATACTCAAGCAGAAAAAATCTTGAAAAGATAAATTCTACCGGATTGGCCCATGAGCCACCGCCTTCTGGGCATACGACTCTAGGCAAAAAACATACATGAAATATTGTATTTGAAATTATCAGATCAAAATTGGCCAAGACTTAAAAATATCATGATATAAATCCAAAAATTTTGTGTAACAATTCACAATTGTAGTACACACAGGGCTTGACGTGACCAGCCGATTGGTTGAACCGGGCCAGTTCAACCACCCGTCTAGGTGAAGTAAGGGGCGAAGTGGTGTGTTGGGCAAAGGAACACTGTTCCTGGAACCAGTGCCCTCAACCACCAGCCTCCCGTCCTCCACCGACACAGGGGCGCAACCCACTGCAAACGGGTTGGTGGACCAAATATGCCCCCGGGTCCACAACGGGGGGTTGAAGGGCTCTTAGCGGCACCCAGCACCCACCACGAGGAGGTGGCCCTTCACGGGTGCCGTCAAGGATTCGTAGACCGGCGAGATGGAAGAAAGCGTGTTTACCGTCGGAGAAATGAAATTTTTGCCCCCAATTGCATTCGACAGGTCGACAGATTCGGTGGAGACAGTGTCGTGGTGTGGGACGCGATATCCTGCACACAAAGATCTGATTTAGTGTTGGTTAGGGAAATTTAACAGCATATCGGTACATCAACGAAGGCCTTGCACGTCACATGCTTCCGATTATGGACTGACAGAGGGAGTTGTTTCAGCATAACGTCAGAACACGCCCTCAGACACTTCTACAACTGGCCGCATTGCAGGAAGAGTGGGGAAGAATTTTGACCAATCCCAGTCTGTGCCAAGACTGTGTCGAGCAATAATTGCTTCCAATGGTGGCCATACAAAGTACTGACTTTGACGCCATCATGTGAACTCACGTAAACAGAAGCACAATAATACAGGCTGCTGTTGTGTTGGTGAACTCTTTGTCTATATACGTGTGAATTGTCACCTTTTGACCATTAAAATTACATGAAATAATTGCTCTTAAATTAAAGCAGTAAATTCTTCTAAACATGGCCAGTGCGTTTCTATTTTGAAGAGCGTACGTCACGACGGATATAATTATATAATCTCCTTATAATTTCAGAGGCATGTGTTTTGACATAATAAGCCAATCAATGACAAGGTGCAAAGAAAACAGTCCTTTGAAAGAAACCTTTAAATTAAGTTTTATCTTTATGGTGAAATTCAATGAAGCGACATGCCTTGGAGGTGAACATTCTCACAAATTGTTCCAGCCCCTTTGAAAATGGTCTCCATCAATTTATAAACGATGGCTGTAGCTTAATTATGTATTCAGCCAGTGAATGTCAGACTTGAATTTACTCATTTTATTCATGTACAAGATACTAGTGAAAGGACATATAAGAATCAGAAGATGAATATAACATGTTCTTACATGTATTGCCAAACTGAATTGCTAATACCCTGAAGATCCGGGTTAGAATTGGTCCTCAGAGTGAGTGAGTGAGTTAATATTTAACGTCACATCGGCAATATTTCAGCCATATCGTGACGAGAACATTTGGCAGTAAGAAATAGAATATATATATAGATATTATAAAAACCTGCCGACGAAGGACAGTAAAAATACTAGATAATCACAGATATGAAAATATAAAACTAGCAAACAAAGCTAAAATATTCCTATGAAAGAAGACAGTACAATGTAAAATGGGCTATAGATCGCCAACACCAGAAGGTAGATCACCAAACTAGGGACCATGGGGACTTACAGTACCTTGGCTACCTGCATGGACCCTAATTGGATTTACACCATCCCTTCAGCTGCTGGCGATTGTAAGGAATGTTAGCTACAATTAAAATTACAAGAATGCTACGACTAAAAACCTGGTACTCTTAAATTGACTTTGAAAGTTTTGGGACTTACGTACCCCCTCAGGAGGACAATAATTTTACGCTACGTCAACCCCCCTTTGAGGGTACAGCCACTAACAATCTCAGTTGCTAATTTAAACCACCAATAATAAAATATTTAACTATTTACAAATCAGTCAACAAATCTAATTTTTTTAAAAATGCAATAATTAAATGAGGACTGACATTATTAAAAAGATCCTTCAGAGTTTTGGATGTGAAATAGATATCCCTTGTGATGGAATATTCAATGCAGTCAAGCAAGACATGCTTGACTGTGATCCTTTCATCACAAGGGATACAAAACGGAGGATCTTCGCCTTTCAATAAATATTCATGAGTATATCTGGTATGGCCAATGCGACATCGTCGCATAATGACCTCCTCAAATCTGGACTGACAACCCAAGTAGGTGTAACCAATGTAGGGTTTTATTGCATGTAATTTATTAATACCTACTTGGGTGTCCCACTTCTTTTGCATTAGATCGCGGATGTATGTTCTAATGCTGGCTTTATAATCAGAGTATGGGATAAGAAGTGGTGTCACAGATTTGTTGAGGGCTGCCTTAGCAGCAATATCAGCCATCGTGTTCCCAGAAATTCCAACGTGGCTGGGTAACCAACAAAAGACGATGTAGCATTGGCCAGTAGCAAGTTCATTGTACAATTCAATAATTTCTAATAAAAGTGGATGTTTGCAAGAAAGATTTTTAATAGCCTGAAGACACGAAAGAGAATCGGAAAAGATGATATATTGTTTATATTTACGGTGTTTATTAATATATTTAAGGGCTGTTAAGATGGCGTTTGCTTCTGCTGTAAATATAGAGCTGTTATCCGGTATTCTAAAAGATATTGTTCGGGATCCAACGACAGTGGCACATGCCACTGCGCCACCATCCTTGGACCCATCTGTAAATAAGGATTTGTATGTAGTATATTTATTTCTTAATTGACTAAATTCTTGTTTATACTGTAATTCATTTGTTTCTGATTTTTTAAATGTAGTTAATGTTAGGTCAACTTGTGGCCTAACCAATTTGCCAAGGCGGAGAAGAAAGAAAACGGGAAGGAGCTATATGTTCTAGCTCAATGCCAGCAGCAGAAAGAAAAGGTTTCACTCTTATACCAAGAGGCGGAACAAGAGAAGGCTTCTTGTTATACAGATCTTCATATAGTGGATTAAAGACACAGTTATATGCAGGGTTTGACTCATTGGAATAAAGTTTTGTAATATACTGTAAAGTTAATTTTATGCGGCGTTGTGTAAGAGATGGCTCATCAGCCTCGACGTAGAGGCTGTCAACAGGTGAAGTTCTAAAGGAACCAAGACATAGTCTTAGACCTTGGTGGTGGACAGAATCTAAAAGTTTTAAATTACTGTTGCAGGCTCCACCATAAACGATGGAGCCATAATCAAGTTTGGAACGTACCAATGATCGATATAATTGTAGGAGGGTAGCTTGATCCCCTCCCCCACTTTGAATTGGAAACGACTTTCAACAAGTCAAGTGCCTTCAAGCATTTAGTTTTTAGGGACTGGATATGGGGAAGAAACGTTAGATGCGAGTCAAAAATTAAACCCAAGAACTTGGCCTCCTTTACAACCTTGATGGGAGTGCCATTGAGAAACAGTTCCCGGGTCTTTATGCGGTTTATATTTTCTACAAAAATGTATACAATTAGTTTTGGATTTAGAAAATTTAAAGCCGTTTTCAAGACACCATTTATGTATTTTATTTAAACACAGCTGCATTTGCCGTTCAATAGTATGCATATTCTTACCGCGACAAGAAATATTAAAATCATCCACAAAAAGTGATCCATCAATTGAATCGTTTAAAACCTTGGATAAACTATTAATCTTGATGCTAAACAGTGTTACAGACAAAATACTGCCTTGCGGGACTCCCTGATCCTGATTATAATGGTCAGACAGGGTTGAACCCACTCGGACTTGAAATTGCCTGTCATTTAAAAAGTTGGATATAAATTGAGGCAAACGGCCTCGTAATCCAAAGTCATGTAAATCCTTTAAAATCCCATGTTTCCATGTTGTGTCGTATGCTTTTTCTAAATCGAAAAAGATCGACACTGCATGTTGTTTATTAATTATGGCATTTTTCACAAAAGATTCTAAGCGCACCAAATGATCGATGGTACTACGGTTTTACGGAAACCACATTGTATATTAGTTATAAGGTTATTGGTTTCCAAGTACCAAACAAGTCGATTATTTATCATGCGTTCCATGGTCTTACAAACACAGCTAGTTAATGAAATTGGCCTATAATTGGAAGGATCAGTATGATCACGTCCAGGTTTAGGGATGGGCACAATTATAGCATCGCGCCACGACGAAGGAAATTGTCCAGATGTCCAAATGACATCAAAATAGATAAGAGAGTCTCTAAACATGAGAGTCAGGTAAGTGTTTCAGGAGTTGATAATGTATACCATCAGCTCCTGAAGCAGTATCGTGAGCTTGGTCAAGAGCAGTATGAAGCTCATGTATCGAAAAGGTTTCATTGTAGTCTTCCCCATTGTCTGAATTGAAATTAATAGATTTCTTTTCCTGCTGTCTTTGATATTTCTGGAATTCAGGTACATAGTTTGATGAGGAAGAATGTTTGGCCAAAGTTTCTCCAAGTTTATTTGCTATGTCAGATTTATCAGTTAATAATTCATCTCCATTTTTAGATGCTTAATGCTAGATTTAGAGCCCTTACCTTTTATTTTCTGAATCATGTTCCACACCTTTGATATTGGCGTGCGCGAATTGATGTTTGAGACATAGTTTCGCCAAGATTGGCGTTTATTTTGTTTAAAAGTACGGCGTGCTTTGGCGTTTAAAATTCTAAATTTGTTTAAATTGTGGACCATAGGATGGCGACGGAAATAATGTTCAGCTTTCTTCCGTGCCTTGCGAGCTTGTTTGCATTCAGCGTTAAACCATGGTTTACGTACATGAGAACCTGCAGAGGATTTGGGGATACACTTGTCAGCTATGTGTCTGAGCTCATCTGAAAAACATTTGATGGCATCAGGAAGATCATGAAAAAGTTCAGGTTTGAGTTTGTCAGCACAGAAAGTTTCATATAAAGGCCAGTTAGCCTTCTTAAAGTTCCATCTTGATGATGGAGGAACATCAGATGGATTCACGGGGTTGAGAATTGTTGGGAAATGGTCACTTCCACACAGGTCGTCGTGGACTGACCACTCAAATTCATTCAGTAAGTCTGAGTCTGTAATTGATAAATCAAGGGCTGAATAAGTTCCTGTGCCAGGATGTAAATATGTGCTCGAACCATCATTATATATGCATACATCATTATCTGAACAAAAGTCTTCTAATAGTTTACCTTTGGCATTAGTTGTTGTACCACCCCAGAGCGGGTTGTGGCCATTTAAATCTCCCATAATGATACAAGGTTTTGGGAGTTGGTCATATAAATTTTTAAGGTCAGACTTCCGAAGAGTCGAAGACGGAGAGATGTACAATGAGCATAATGTGAACGCAACATGTAACGTCAGTCGTACTGCAACCGCCTGGAGACCAGTATTAAGTATAACAGGGCTGTGGATAACACTTTGTTTGATAAGGATCGAAGATCCTCCAGTTGCCCGATCACCTGGAGGTGAAAAGGAGTGGTATGCATTGAAATTACGTAATTCAAATGTATCCGTCTGTTTTAAATATGTCTCCTGGAGACAAATGGCTGATGGTGTGAAGTCCTGGACTAAGAGCTGCAAATCATTGAAATTATTCCTTAGCCCTCTGCAGTTCCACTGTACAAGATTATTAGAAGACATTATCTTTTGGGGGATTTACTGGGGATCTACCCCGCACTTGTTTGGAGGGCGACAAGCTATGTGCCCTAGAATGGACGTTTTCAGATACGTCCATGGCCTCAAGAGATCCATATTTGTTGTTTAATTGAATTTTGTTTTGCGACCCTTTTGGGGCTCTGCCACTCAGCTTTTTAGATAAATCTGGCTTGTTACTTTTGGGTTTAGTGATATCTTGTTGAGACTTCGTTGACGACTGAGAGAAGATGGTTCATGATCACGGGAGGACGTCTCTGACTGGATTCGAGATGGACCAGGAGGTGAGTTTCCAGTTTGTGTAGTTGTAG